TCGAGGTAATCAGAACTAAGAGGTGAGGTGACTTGTCACCCACAAGGCCGGAAGGCTACAGGACCCAGCCTGGGTCCACTCGGCCTCTGCCAACAGAGCCCCGCCAGGCAGAGGCACTTGGGACCTGTCACCACCTGGCTGTAGCAAGAAGTTGGCCACCTGGGGCTGCGTCCTCCCATCAGCAAGGGACATGAGAGCCACCTCCTCCAGAAGTGAGACAAGCACTCCAGGAAATGTCACTCAAGCCATGACAAAACAGATAAACACAGACAGCCAGACAAGCCCTGGGCCAGCTGAAACTCTCCTGCTGTCATTTGTCATGGGCCACCGTTTTGGAGAGCTAGACTTTGGAATCCTGGATGGCCCAACCACTTCTGATGCTGAACGTGACCCGCCTCTCACTCTGCCTGTGCCCATCTTCAAAGGGCTCTCTGCCAACATCACAGGGAGACAGCCAGTGCCACCTGTGTCATCCAGCAGAAACCCACAGGGCAGACAGGTGGCCAAATGACACTGTGGTAAATAAGCCCAGAGAGGCCAGATCTGTTTTCAGCCACAGGACTGAGCAGGGCTGAGCCTCTTCCTTCCTCCCGCCTTGCTCTTAGTGATTATTCCTGGCCCCTTCCTGTGCCAGGTCCGAGCTCGCCCTGGGGACTAACAGGAACACAGGGCAGCGCCTGCCCTGGGAGAAAGAGTTTTGGGGCAAAGGAGCGCCCCGCCCAACCACCCACGCTCACTTGGCAAATGCCCTGGCACCCTGTCCAGCATGGCAGTGTGGGCATGAGGACCATGGGGGGTGGAGAGGCACCTGGGTCAGGAGGAGGAGGGCAGGAAACCAGAGTCATCACCAGCCACACAGTGATGAAATAGCACTAGAGTGAAGTCCCATCCCTCTGCCTATGAAAGTGACCTTATTGGGTTTTGTGGTTTTGTTTTTTGTTTTTGTTGGTACCAGGGATTGAACCCAAGGGTGCTTAACCACTGACCCACATCCCAGCCCTCTTTATACTTTATTTAGAGACAGGGCCTCACTGAGTTGCTTAGTGCCTCACCATTGCTGAGGCTGGCTTTGAACTCGTGATCCTCCTGCCTCAGCCTCCCGAGCCGCTGGGATGACAGGTGTGAGCTACCACACCCAGCAAGAGACCTTATTTGGAAGTGGAGTCTTTGCAGATGTCATCAGGTTAAGGTGGAGTGACACTGGAGTAGGCTGGACCCTGACCTAACCGGGACTGTTCCTTAAGAGACATGAGAAGTCAGACGCAGGGGGACGGGCTGTGGGAACACAGAGCAGAGCCTGCAGGGACGATCTGGGCTAAAGGGTGCCCACCTGCCCCCAGGAGAGAGGTCATGAGGAGCAGACTGTGCCCTGAGCCTCGGGAGGGAGCACAGCCCTGTTGCCAGCCTGATTTTTCCAGAACTGCGAGCAGATGAAGGCCTGTTGCTCCAGCCACCTGAGGAGCTCTGTAATGGCAGCCCCTGGAAACTGACACGCTGGGCCTTGACGGTTTCCCAGGGGAGCCCAATGACCTAATCCCCACCTGCAGCAGCAGCCCCACCCGGCAGGGGTGCCTCGCCTGCCCCGGGGCCCTCTGGGGCCTCTTGCTGGCCTCCTGGCCATGCCCTGCTGTCCCAGGCCTTCCTCCTGCTTCTCTTCCTCCCAGTGGTCTTGTAAGCCAGACCTGCAGCCAGAGCCACCCCCACCCGTGCGGAGGGCTGTTCTCAGTCACAGGAGCAGGAAAAGCTGCCTCTGGGAAAAGCCCCCGTGGGGAGGCTGGTGGATGCGAAGGGAAAGGCAGGGACTGGAATTAAACCCAGGCCCTCACCCCTCAGCCGAGTCAGTGTGGGCAGGACCTGTCTGTGAAGAGGGCGTGGGAACCCCTGCCTGGCAGGGGCACCTGAGGATGAAGTGAGGGACAAGTGGCCAGTGCCCTCCCTGTCTGACCTCCCAGCTCCAACAACCAGGTGGCTCTTCCCTGAAAGCCACATCTGCTTTCTCTGTCCCTTTGTCCATGCACAGGCTGCTGTGACGTGGGAGCTGGTGGCCAGAGGCCCGTGCTCCCCAGGGCCTGTCACCTGCTCTTCCACCAGCCTCCAGTAGATCCACAGAGAGATCACACTCGCATCTGACCTCCTGTCAAGGAACAGCCCTCGGGGAAAGCAAATAAAAAGCCAAGAGTTCCGCAAGGTGGGCAGTCAGGTAGTCCCAGCCCACGGCCCGCAGGGGAGCACCAACCAGGCGGAGGCGGGCTGAGCATGGCGTGGACGATGGGTGCTGAAACTGGACAGATCGCTCGCTGTGTGCTGGGCACTCGGCTAAGAGCTTTCTCTGACCCTCCCGGATGCAACCTGAGCACCACTCCAGGGAATGTGGCATTTGACCCACTCACTAGGAGAACTGAGGCCAGGAAGCTTGGAAACTGGCCCCAGGAGCCGAGGCTGCACTGAATCCCCACTGCCCCTGCTCTGGGGTTCCCATCTGCCTCAGGGGCATCTCGCTCACTGCAGAGCTTGATTTCCAGGAGCTCCCACCCAGCAGCCCTGCTCCCTCTGCTGCTCGGCTGGTGACAGGCTTCTGCAGTGCACACACAGGCCTGGCCGGCTGCACCTTAGGGGCAGCTCAGGGAATTTTCAAGAGACTCTGGACTTTGCACCCAGCCTCCAGTGCACCCCCCTGAGGCATCAGGACATTCCAAGGAGAAAGTGTGGAACATGGAGAAGATCACGCTGGCAAGGGGCTCGTGAGAGGATGGCAGAGAACTGAGCCAGTCTAGCCAGTGAGGCTCTCCCAAGGCCCTCGAGGACAAGCTCTGGCAGCAGCTGGAGTCCCGCTCTGGGCTGGCCCTGCTCCCTGCTGACCATGAGGCTTAGTTGCTGGAGCCTGTGGCCAAGTCACTTACCTACCCCAGGCCTATTTCTCCCTCTAGGTAGTGGGGGAAAGCCCCTGGCCCACAAAGCCCTGCTCAGGATTAAAGGAGAGACCCCTAAATGGACAAATCATGAACAGATACCTGCTAAGTATTCAGGTACCACTTTCTCTCAATGAACTACTTGGAAGAAACAGCAAGTCACTGTGTACAGGATGAATGGAGGGAGGGGGAGTAAGGACATAAGCCAATGCCTAAGTCATGAAAATTACAGAAAGATTCTAAATGACAATTTCCATCTTTGCATGATTTATTTTCCAAACAGCCAGGTCCAATGTTAAATGCACACTTTTTCTTTCATCTGATAAGCATAACAGGGAAGAATGAGCAGGAAATGTACATGAGGAACAAGAGGAAGATGAAGTGCTGAGAAGGCAGACTATGACCACAGACCACAGCATGACAAGTGAACTGGGCAAGGTACACGTCACCGTCCAGAAGAAACACAGAGAATTTCAGGTTTCCGTGAAAAGATACATTTGGTTTTTTAATGAGCAACCCTCCTAGAGCTAAGGTTGTGCACACTGACCTGCTGGAGAAGGGGGCCAGACCTTTAGAGGGAGCAGAGCTAAGGCTTCCTTCCCAGGGAGGCGGCTGGTGCAGGAGGAGCCATGCACTTTGAGCTCAGTCAGATTTGGATCCAATTCCAGTTCTATCCCTTAGTAGCTGCATGGCAACAGGTAAGACAGATGCTACTTCTCTGAGCCTGGGCTTCCTCATTCTCAGAACAAGGATCCTAAGACTTCCTGCCCCGTTCTCCTGAGCAGGAAAGAAAGGAGGGCCTTTGAGAATGCCCAGTGGTTGTCGCAGCCCGGAAGGACATGGAAGGTATGTGTTCATTTTTCCGTCACTCAAATGAATAAACAAGTGTCCAGCCTGCCCTCCTGAGCTTAAGAAGCTTGCCCAAGGTCGCACAGCGAGTCAGGAGAACTGGAAAGAGACCCAACCCCATGTGCTTTGTCCTGGGGCCTCCTGCGTGCTGTTGCTGGGGTCTGGGGTCACAAAGACCAGCAAACCCGGACTCTGCCCTCGAGGAGCTCACAGTCTAGGAAGGTGAAAAGGAATGTTCATACAGAGCTGCCACCAGGAACCATTGTCACCTTAATTCTGGAATAAAAGAAGGAGGGGTGATTGGCTTGGGGGGAAGGACTGGGTCAGGAGAGACTAAGAGCACATGAGAGTGACATAGTGCTACATGGCAGGGACCTCTTCGTGTGCGGGGCCTCACACAGCACGGACCTATTAAATGCTGGAAGAATAGGTGAATGGATGGGGGAAGAGACCAGGAGGGGTGCAGAGTGGCAGGCCACTGGCCTGGCAAGCAGCTGGATGAGTGGACAGATGGACAAGAAGGTGGCGAGAGAACATGGAAATGACGGTGCACGGTGGACACTCAGGGGGATGCTGCTGGGGCCTGAAGACGGTTTCACTCCAAAAGTCGAATGTTGAGATCACCACGTTGGTGGTGCTGGGAGGCAATTAGGTCATGGAGACCCCACAGAGCCACACCCCTCCCACCATGTGAGGATGTGTGGAAGATGCCATCTCTGGACCAGGAACCTGACGCTGAACCTGTGGCACCTGGACCTTGCTCTCCCCAGCCTCCAGAACTGAGGAGTCGTTGTTCTGGGTAACACCTATCAGCCACCTGCCCATGGTGTCCCCCCACAGTAGCTCAATGGACTGGAAAGATGCATAAACCAGCAACTGGCCAGTGAGTGGGTGGGCAGCTGTGTGGATGGGTGGAAGGATAGCTAGGCAGAGGCAGGACAGTCGGGAAGATGGTGCAGAATGAATGGCCACGGGCCAGAGTGGGTGGATGGTGACAGAGAGACAAGCAGGCACACAGGTGGGTGGTGAGGCAAATGTGGTGATGGATGGGTGGGTGAGGTCTGTGGGTGGGGGCAAGTAAGTGAATGGAAAGAGTGAAGGATGGATGGACAGCCGGGCTGGCTGGTTTGGACAGGTGTGTACAGCAGACACGGGGGAATGAATGGGTCAGTGCCTTGACCAAGTGCCTGTACGGGAAAGTCTGAGGAACAATCAGTCCAGCCCTGCGTTGTGCCCACTTACCAGGCTACAGCCACCAGTGGGGGCCTGGGCTCCCAGCTCCTCCCGCAGGCTCTGGTTTTGCTGGGCGAGCTCCTCCACGTGGCCCTGCAGGCCAATCTCGGACAGCTGCAGCCCATAGATGCAGCAGCGCAGCTCCTCCAGCTGCCCGCGGAGCAGGAGCTCGGTGGCGCGCTGTTCCCGCAGCCGACGGACCGCCTCTTCCCGCTCACGCTCGCTTAACTCTGCCCTCTGCTGCAGGGCGCGCAGCTCCGCAGCTGCCTCCGGGGCTTTGTGGGGATCGGCGGGGACCTGCAGCCTGGGCTTGCCCGAGACTGGCGCGGGGGCCTCAGTGCCCCGCTGAGCCAGCAGGAGGCCCGCGGCACGACAGAGGTGCCGCACATCCCTCTCCAACCGCTGCACCTGCGCCCGCAGGACGCGCTCCTGATCCCGCACCAGACCCAGTTGGCACCGCTGGATCCTCCGGCAATGCTCCAGGGCCGCAGCCTGCAGCCCTAGCGCCTCATCCCTGCGCTGCAGCTGCCCCCTCAGCCGTCGCAGCTGCTGCCGCTGCCGCCAAGCAACACTCTCCTCTTGCCGGACCTGTAAGTTGGCGATGATGAGGCGTCAGGAAGCCCCAAGATCACCATTGCTCACCCTTGATCCTGCCTGGGCAAGGATTTTCCATATTTTATGCACAACGAAGCGTTCTTTTTTCTTTTTTGTTTTCGCATTAATTCCTTGCATTAAAATAATGCGTCAAAATATTATCTCGATTACTGAATTTTTTGGTCAAGCGCACGCCATCCTAATCTGGGTCCTGCACCCCTGAGAGCTCCCCAAGTCATTCCAAGAGAAGGGGCTAGAGGGGCAGGTGCCTCTGGAGGGAGGCTAAAACTGTTCAGCGGGAACTGTTCCGGGCGGGACACCCCCACAGCACCTTGCAAACAGCTGTTGCCAGAGCACTTGGGTGTCCACACTTCCACCCCAGAACCACCCTGAGCTCCCCATCTCCCAACACCCAAACTGGCCCATGCCTGGTCCAGCCAGGGTCAGCTGGCCCCAAACCACCATGCCACAGCTACTGTTCCTTGTTGTAAATGCTCACCTAGTGGGACTGTCACTAGCCCCATGGGACACTCAGATTGATTTGCTTAATATCACACAGCTAAGATGCGGCAGCCAGGCCTGGAACACACCGTCAGCCCCCTACCTGACTCTAGTTCTGCTCCTTCTCCTTCCCACCTCTTGCTTGTACAGAGAACATGCCTGTCTGTCCTTGCACCTCCCCTCTGCCCCACCCAATGCTGCGAGATGGACTGGGGTGCAGCCACCTTGCATACTGAGAGTCCTTTCCTGATTTCAAGAATGAATCCAAGCAAAGGGGTGGAAGAGCTGGCAGCCTAAGCCAGAAGATGGAAACGGGAAGAGAACACCTGGGGCAGGGGTGAGAGGCTATGTAAAAACTGGAGTTCCTGAGGGTGGGAATTCTGTAATCAGAGTTGCCTGGTGTTGCGTGGACAGGGCTCCATGGCCTGAGTGGGTGAGCCTTTGACAGCTTCAGAGTGACTGCAGGTCACTACAGAAATGAGGCCTCTTTGTATGCAAATGGTTCCTGGGAATCGCCCTGAACTTCTGCCTCTCATCTGGACATGGGGTTTTGTGACAGGTCTGTCCTCGGCACATGCATACCACATGAGATAGCAGTAAATAAGGGACATGGTGGGAAAGGGCTTAGCATCCTCCTGAGGAAACCATGGGTTCCTCCAATCCTGCTCCCCACGGGCCTCTGTCACTCATCACACTGTGCACATCTGGACTACAGGGCTGTGCCAGGGGTCCTAATGTCCAGGGGGCATAGCTCAAAGACCCCATTATAGTACTTTTCAGAGAGAAATCACACCCCAGGTGGTGGGGTCCCCCACAACTTTCCTGTCCCTTACAGTAGAAACTCCCCTGGGCTGGTGTTCTGAACCAAGGAGAAGAGGCTCCACTCTGCCCCTAAGGGCCAGAGTACAGGGCGACCCTCCTCTGGGCGGAGGTCTCCCTGGCTCTTCGAGGACCCAGTGTGCTTAGAAGACTCCTTACCTTCCCACCCCCACTTAGCTCTGTTAGTGGCTGCACCAGTGCCTCTCCACTTTCCTGATGGCTTCTCACTGAGAACACCTGGTTCACCTGCCCTTGATACATTCACATTGGTATGAATCAAAAAATATGCAAAACAACACACCCCTTGCACACGCATGCTTGTTGGTATTTCCACCTGCGTTCCCTCGGCTTGGCTGGAACAAGCATCAGAAAGAGGAAGAGAAACTCACCTGGCTGACCAGCTCCTCCTGCAGTGCCCGCAGCTGCTCCTGGGCCCACAGTGAGGTGCTTCTTTCCTGGACCACGCAGGCACGCAGCCGGTCCACCTCCCGGAGCAGCTTCCTCTGTGACACCTCCAGTGCCTGAATCCTGTGGCATTGGAAGCAGGAGGTACCCGCTCAGCGTGGAGCAGCTCAGCCTAAGTCTCCACGGACACCTTAGTTTCCTTGTCATTGGCCAATTTGATGTTCTAACAAAATTACACATTTAAATCTTTCATACACACCTTGTTTAGGACTACCTACAATACTTGAAAGACATCATTTGAATAGTGAAGTACCCTCCATCAGGACTCTCACCCCATAGTGGGAGATACCAAAAGTGACTGGCAGGAGTTTATCTGGGTGGCTTCAATTCATCCTCCCAACATGAACAGCCTGAAGGGGATAATGTTCCCCTGACTTCACACATGGGGAAACTGAGGCTCAGAGGGATCAGATAGCTTGTTTAAGGTCACACAGCATTACAAAGTCTAGGCCATCTAGTAATTTCATGCTTTCAGGCCTGTGTGTGTTGCTTGCATCCAAGCCACGTTCTTATGAGTCTTTCTAGGGAATGATCGACATTCAGAAAAAGCTCTGGAATAAAAGAAAATCCATCTCTGTATAATGTCCACTTCTAAGTGAGAAGCAGGAAGCAGCTTAACCAACAGGAGCAGCTGAGCCATGCAGCGGCTTTAGGTCATCTGGAGGCTGTGTCACCAGCAAAGCAATACCGGGCCTGGGCGTGAGCCTGACCCCAGGTCTGTAGAAGGAGATGCCCGCAGGATGGGGAGAACATTAAAGAGAAAGAGGAAGGGAAAGTCACCTGACTGACCAGCTCCCCCTGCAGTGCCCGCTGCTGCTCCTGGGCCCACAGTGAGGCCCACAGGGGGGCCGCTCCTGTCAGAGGCACTGCAGAGGCCGGAGGCTTCTAGGATAGAAAACCTCCATGCACACGGAGGCCTCCGCCAGCAAGCTCTGCATCCTCGCTCCGTTACTGAGTTCACACTGCTGACCTCATCCAGGAAAGACTCTGCTCCCCTGGGTGAAGACCAGCCCTGCCTCCTGGTTCTGCCATTCAGCAGCCCTGAACTGGGTGTGTTCACCACCACGACCCTACTTCATCTGTAAAATAGAGGTAATTCTATCCTGCTCACATGGTTGCTGGACGGTTTAATAAAATGATGCATTATTAACAATAAGTCCAAGAGTCTCCTCTCCTACTCCAGCACTTGGGCCTTAAGGAGAAGATTATAGTCAAGGCCCTTTTGGGCTGAATGCCCCCCCCCCAACAGTTAATCAGTCAGGGTCAGGCTGGTGCCTTCTGATTGCTAATGAAAGGCAGTGAGAGCTGAGGGGGAAAGAAAAGGCAGCCTGCCCCATGACACGTGAGAATGTTGCATTCTGACCCTCTCCTTATTCCTAAACCAAGCAGAAGAAGATGGTCTCCCTGAGGCAGGATGACTCAGCCCCAGATTCACCCAAGCCTGGTCCCTGGGACCCAAGACAAAACCCTTGAAGTGCAAAAGAGGCTGCAGGTGCCATTAGGCCAAGGCACACATGTGAGACAGGAGAGCCTCCCTGGTTATCCAGGTGGCCCTGACTATGTCCTTGTCAGAGGGAGACACGGGGAGAGCGGGCTTCAGGGAAGAAAGCTAGGTGACCCAGAAGCTACACTGGGGGCTTGAAGATGAGCAAGGAAGGAGCGGTTTCCCCACAGCCTCTGGGGGAGCAGGGCCCTACTGGCACCCTAGCTTGATGCACCTGAGCTCATTTCCAGCTTCTCACCTCCAGAACTGAAGGACAATCAGTATGTGCTGTCTTAAGCCACCGAGTTTATGGTCATTTGTTATGGCAGCCACAGGACACTTACAAGGTAGCTTGTTCCAGGTCAAGGTCACACAGCAATATAGAGTCTAGGCCAGTAAATTCATGTTTTCAGGCATGAAAGAAATGGACAATGGCATGTTTTTCACTGGTTAAACCAACAAGTTTTTAAAAATATTGGTAGACAGTGCTGCAAAGAATGCAATGAAACTAGAAGGTTCTGTCACGCAGCACAATGCACTGGCCCATCGCAGCCGAGGGGACATCCTGACTGCCTGGCTAAGTCCCACCACCCTGCATGGCTGGGAGCGGCCTGGGTAAGTTACCTAACTAACCAGCTGCGGTTTCCCCATCTATGGATGAGAACAACACCAGGGCTTCATTTTCAGTACTGTCCTAAGGATTGGCCAGGCTCAACCTGCCTAGGACGGACAGTGGCTGATGTCAAGCCAGAGCTCAATAAGGTCCTCACTGTCCTTCATCCTTGGCATCTAGATTGGAAACAATTACACAAAAGTGCTCACACCATGAAGACAGATCAGGGATTTCTTTCTCAAATTTCCAACAGTGCTGTTGTGTTATTATAAATACTTTAAGATCCTATTTTGTGGAAATGAATCCAATGCATGCTGCCAACTATTTGCTGATCCCAGCTAGACTACACCTCTAAGGTATTTGGCCTGAAATCTGAGTTTGGAATCATGCTTCAAACCATGGATGATGAGCTTTGTCCCCTCAGCCCCAGTTTTTCCATCCAAAGAGGGAGATGATACCTTCCAGGCACCTGCGGCCCAGGAGGCCAAGAGGGTCCCTGGAGGGAGAGCAAGGGCTGTTGCTCCTCACCCCTGCCACACACCCAGCCTTTGTACCTCTGCCCCTCTTCTGCAAGATGGGCACCCTGTCCTTAAAGAGACCAGAGGACACAAGCCCCTCTCCCCCATGGGACGGTCAAGGACACCCTCTCCAGGATGGCCTCATCCCAGGCCCAGCTGTTGAGGCCTCTCCTCTCCCACACCCACAGTGTCCCTGGGGCTCTCATGCTGTCCCCCTCATGTGGAGGAACTGTGTCCATCCTCCTCTGGTGGGTGACCTCCAAGATGTGAATGCAGCTCACGTGGGCTACACTGAGAGGGCCTCTGGCTGGCACCCTGTCTTCCCCAGGGCTCAACCCCAGGACCAGAGTTATGAGTGACGTTATGTCCTCCACAAAATTCACCTTTCAAAGTCCTAACTCCCAGGACCTCAGAATGCCACTGTATTTGGGGACAGAGCCTGTACCACCATAATTACGTTAAAAGGAAGTTGTAGAGCGGCGTCATTAAATCCAATCTGACTATGTTCTTATCAAAAGAGATTGAGACACAGAGGGACACCTCGGCGACCGCACACCTGCAAGCCCAGGAGAGAGGCTGCAGGAAGAAGCAGCCCTTGACCTCACACTGCTGCTTCCGAAAATGTGGGGAAATCATTTTCTAAGCCCCCACCCTGCAGTGCTTTGTTACAGCAGCCCAAGAAAACTGACCCAGCTGACCACCTGCCTCCAGTTCTTCAGGCTGCAGGGTGGCAGTGAACGGGCGATTACGTGGGGGACATTTGTGAAAGTCTTCATGTGAAACATTCTTTGGCTTTGTGTTTTGAAGCACTGGGAATTGAGCCTAGGGGTGCTCTACCATTGAGCTACACCCCCAGGCCTTTTTTATTGTTTATTTTGAGATAGGGTTTTGATAAGTTGTCCAGGATGTCCTCAAACTTGCAATCCTCCTGCCTCAGCCTCCCCAGTAGCTGGAATTAGAGGTATGCGCCACCAGGTCCAGCTTGTTTGAATGGTTTACCCAGAAGAAAAACAGTAAATTATATTTAAATACCCAATTAATAACTTGAAACAAAGGCAAGAAACAAAACTGTGGAGTACCACCACAGGCCAAGGCACCAGGCAGCCTTGGTTAGGGACCCGGCCACAGCCGCACTGCATGTCTACTCTGGGCTCCCTTCTGAGAAGGCGTGGCCTCATTCTGCTGGCCGGGTGTCCAGAAGTCCTCAGGAGGCTGGGGCACTTCAGCACAGCACTTGCCTAGCTTGTGAAGTCCTGGCTTCCGTCCCCAGTGTGGAAGGGAGGGAAGGAAGGAGGAAAGGGAAGAGAAGGAGGGGAACGAAACTAACGTATCCTGAGTCTCAAAGGAAGCGTCCATGAGCCACGGAGATGCGGCAGTGCTGGGGAGCAGCTGTAACTGCAGCCACACGCCCTTGGCCTGCGCCCTGGTTGAGGGAAACGCACACACAGGCTACAGTGGCACAAAATTGTCCCCCCGCAGCCTCTCCTGGCCCACCTCCAGTTGGGCCCCTGACTACGGCTCCTCCACAGACACTGGGCCCCCCACCCGAGACAGGGCTTCTCACTGTGGAGACAGCCCGCATTCTCCTTGAATGTGTGTCTGCTTCCCAAATAAACCTCTGTCCACGCCAGCCTGGTGTGTGCTGAAGTTCTTGTCCATCACGTATGCTAAGCGTCCCCCAGTCCTGAGTGGAACCCCTCCCCTCTGGGAACTCCTGGGACTCTTCTTCAGAGACAGGTCTTTTCCCGTGACAGAAGAAGAAATGGGTGATCAGAAGTCTGAGCTTTGGAGAAAGACCTGGCTTCACATGTCCATACCCAGGGCCATGGCAGCCCCTTTAGGGAAAGGGCCCCCACCAAGGAGCTCAGCCAGAGAGAAACCCGTGTGGAGTTCCTGAGGCAAAGATGAGGGACAGTCAGAGGGCCGGACCCTTGCCAGGCAGCCCAGGTTGGCAGCTCTGGAGCCAATCTTCCCCTGGGGCTGGGGAGCAAGGATCGGGGCCCAGGAGCCAGTCAGGCCCCAGCAGCGTTGGGGCCACGGAGGGAGCAGAGAACCTGTTGCAGCCGCAGCTGGAGCAGAAGAGAGGAAAAGCCCCCAGCCCCTCTTCCTCACTCCCTTGAGGTGCCTCTCCCTGGCGGGATTGGGATGGAAGCCCAGGTGAGAAGGCAGGACCTATGCAGCTGCAGAGCGGAGCACAGGGAGGGCAGGAGGAGGGAGGCAGATGCCCACACAGGCAGAGTGTGCACTTAGGGTGTGCACCACGCCTCAGCTGGAGCGATGGTGCAATGTGCCATGGTGACACGCCTGTGATGCCCCAGGATTTGCCAAACACACAAGAGCCCACGATGCATACCCACCTGCTCCTCAGCCTGGACTCCGACATCACGTGCGTGTTCACAGCTGCCACAGGCTTCTGCTCTGAGGATTCCAGCTGCTTCCCGAGCATCCCCGTGTCCACCTCTGGGGTCCCGGCCACTTCTTCTGGAAGGCACCCCTGTGCTTCACCACTCTCCTCCAGGTCCCGGAATATCCAGCATGTGTCGATCTTCACATCCACGTGTGTGACATCCAACGCATCACTGCTGGGGGCTCTGATGACATAGCTGAAACTCTTCTCAGTTCGTCCCTGAGCTGTGGGCTCCATCCCATAGATACTTCACAGATCAAGATTTCATAATATTAAGTGAGTTTGCAACGTGGACTTTATGGAGAGTTCAAGGTGGCTCAGTGACTTTGGAAACATCCTTCAGGAAAGTGTCCTTTGAGGAGGGCAAAAACAGGTGGATTATTCATGAGACAGTGATGGGTCTCTCTCCACCAGCTCATCCAATATGAATGAAAGCCTCTCGCTTTACATGTCCCCAGCCAGACTCACCAGAGCAACAGAGTCCGAAAAACCACCTGGGATGAAATGCCCAACCTCCAGCACAAAGAGAAAAGTAAGATGTCCTAGTAGGACCACAAGAGTGTCACAGATTCTCAGTAGCAAGTGAGGCTCAAGACTTTACCCCAGAATGGATGAAGCCCCCTCCCTTGGTGCCCTACTTATGAAGGACTTGAAATCTGCTAGGCAAAAGGGACAGGAAGTTGATGCTGCCTGGGAGTCCTTCTCTGCCTCACCAGCACAATGCTGGTGACCAGCTAGGTGACTTACTGGGTGGCATCAATAAGACTCTTTTCCAGATGGTGGAAGAGGGACTTGGGAGGGTGGAGGAGCTGTCCAGGCCCCACAGAGGGCTGGAATGTGGCAGAATCAGGACTCAGATGCAGGTCTGACTCCCAAACTGGCCTGGGAGCTACAATAGGCATGGGTGCGACAGGACCCCAGGGCAAAACAGAGGGGCCCTTTGGGAGCCCAGAGGTGGGAGAGGGAGCGAGGCTCAGAGATGCAGGAGGAATGATGAGCTGCTGCCAGGACAGGGGTGACAGAGTCCCCAGGGAGCCATCCTCAGGCCACAGCCCCATGGGAATGAAGTGGCTAGGTGTGGCTGGCCAAGGGGCACTCAAGCGTGGCTCCGGGCTGTATGTAGACAGGCGCTCGGGGGACTCTGGTGTCTCTGAGGCACTGGTGGGTGCTGAGGTATTCAGAGCTAGGGAGGTGACTGGCCTGACAAATGGTGAGGATCCAGCCCTCAGGTTTACAGAGGCAGGAACAGGGCAGCCAGCCCTGCGGGAGGAGGCCAGGCAGACCGAGCGCTGTGAGGACAGTGAGAAACTGAGAGCTTAATTCTCCCAGTAAAGATAGGAGGGGGCTTCTCCCTCCCTTTTCTTGAGCACTTACTTTAGAACACTCATCAGGTTTTCTTCATCTCATGGCAACAAAGCCATCCCTCGGTGGAAATCCCAGTTCTCCTTTGTGCACCCCTTAACTTTTCATGCCAGGTGACTTCTCTGGGACTCTTTTTGGCCTGGGGTAAGTCTGGCCTCCCAGAATGCCCACAAACACCAAAGCCCAGGATGCTCAAGGGCCTCTAAGGAAAAGCATAGGATTTGCGTAGAACCCACACACGTCCTCCACGGATCTTAAATCACCTCCAGAGACTCCGACCCTGGCATGTGGCTGCTGCGCTGAGTTGCCCGGGGATGAAGAAACAGAAAGGCCCGCGCTGCTCAGCACACAGGCCACAGCAACGTTTTTTCTAGAGTCTTTGTCTGCCATTGGTCAAATCCACAGGAGGAAGGGCTGGATCCTGAGGGCCGGGTGCATATGTGAACCCTTCTGAGACCACGGGGGCCTTTTGCCGTTTTATGGCCCCAAAATGTCTTTCTCCAGGCCCCAGAACCACCTCTGTGGACCTGAACACCAGGAAGAGCACCCTCTGGTCATGTGGCAGGTAGGTGCTTACCTGGCCCTGGCTCCGAGTCATCAAAACTCCTCCTCTTGCAGAGACAGAGGTGAACACAGAAAGGTCCCCCGTCACCAGGAGAATGTGGGAGGAATCCCAGGTAGCAGGTGCTTTCGACCTGACTTAAGGACTAGCTAGCCATGGGTCATCATGAGAGCGCGGGATAGGTAAGCTTTCTGGCTCCAGTGTCCCCAGGGCCACTCAGGATGCACATCTCCCCTGGCTTCATGCTCATCCTCCAATAAAGCTGTTTTCTTTCTTTCCTCCCCTTGCTGAGAGGGCATCTGAGCTGGGAGAAGCTTTTTAAAAATTTTTTTGGATGGCACGTCCTCAGAAGAGGTGACATGTGGGTGGCCACGAGGGGTGGGGGCTGGCCTTGAGGGCCGAGTGAGCCTCTCAGGTCCTAGGGCTGGGCTGGGCCAGCCACCTGGCTTGGAACCCCATCTCGTCACCTCTCAGGTACAATCTGGACAAATTAATGCCTCCTGCAAGGGGGGGGGGGGTAAACACTATCTAAGGAGGGGAGGGGCATCTATGCGCCATGGAGGAATGAACAAGCCCCCTCACACATTCAGCAGTGCCCTCCACGCTCTGGGGTCCACACTGGCTGGGCGCTGGCAGGGACACCCTGCCCTGGCTTGCCACACCACCTGCTCAGCGCAGGATCCTAGCACCTGACTCAGTCCCTTGGAACAAGAAACTGACCTCAGGCCCCTACCCCTGGGGCTGTATTGAGGGTTCCCCGAGTGCCTGGCCCCTGAGCCCCAGCTGGGAGGATCCCCTGCAGCAGGAGCACTGGAGGCTGAAGGCAGCTGAGAGAGCCCTCCCCTACAGTCCCCACCTGAGGACAGGGCACAGGCAACTGAAGCCTGAGGCCTCAGCCCAAGGGAGCATCTTTGGGCTCTTCCTGGACGACTAACCAAGACTCTCAGGAGAGGAAAACGCGGGCTGGGGGAGACGGAAGAGGAATGTGGCTTACCGCCCGGCTGGGCTGCAAGGTGGAGGCCTGAGCCCATGGATCCTGTCTTCTCTGAGGGTAGGTGCTGGGCAGCCAAGGGAGGGGAGCAGATGGTCATGGAGAGGCTGTGAGGGCCCCCACCCTTGGGGGCCTTGGAGAGGTCCCCCACAGCTAAGAATGATCACAGGAAGGACACAGGCTGTGGCTAAGACCCCAAGATAGGCAGCCCTGGAGAGATGGGGAGGGAAAGAGAGGCTCCACCTACCACAGAGTGGGCCACTAGGGCATGGGTTGGGGTCTGCAGAAGTCCCCAAGAATTCTTAGATAGCCTGAAGGAAGAAGCCCCCAAACTGGCTGGGTTGGAGTTTCCCATCCAATGTGCCAGACCCCTAGCCGGCTCCCGTTAAATGTAAGAAATAAGCAAAAATCAGAGTTGTTTGTACTGGGAGGGTCAGGTGTGACTCCTCCTGGGGACAAGCTGGTTAGGGAAGCTGCAGGAAAGCAGGAGATGTGTGTCTTGACACTGCAGATGGAGGAGAGGGGGAGCAGGGATGCAGCTCCCCAGGGCACTTGACCCTGCCTTGCACTGGTCCCCCCTTAGAGGCCCAGCCCAAGGCCTCAGCAAGACCGTGGGGTGGACCAGGTGGGGTAGGAATCGCCCAGAGTACAGCCCAGCCTCCTGTACCTCCCCCAACACCCAGCAGGTGCGCCATGGCAAAACTCATGTAGACCAGCTGGAGCTTGGAGCCAAGGGGCATCAGAGACACACGCCCTGTAGCCTCGGGACGGTCCCCACCTAGAACCAGAGGTCTGGATCCTGTATGTGCCTTGGCATTTCAGTCTTCATAGCCAGTCTCCTGGCTCAGACAGGGCCTCCTTCCCAGCTCCACAGGCTGCCAAAAGCCAGAACGCAGCTTGAGGGCCACGGCTTCTCTGCCCCAGGTCCTCACCGTGGCACCAGCCAACAGAGGGTGGGAGGCGGAGACCGCTCTCTGTGTCCACAGTGGATCTGGGGCAGGGTTGGGCCATCCTTCTTCCTCTGGAGGAGAAAGTGACCTGGGTGAGCCACCCAGGCTGCAACTCAGCACCCCAGGGCTGTGGAGCAGGTGGAGTGCACACCTGGTGGCCAGCCACGCCGAGGATCCTTGAGTACTGTAGCTCCTGTTCCCAGGCTGGGCCTGTCCCTGGCAGGGGCCTGGGAAGGCAACAAGAAATGTTGGCTTCTGCTAGGGACTGGGGACTCCCATGCAGGGCAGTCCCCACCCCTGCCTGTGTGGGCCTCATACCCTGGTCCTGAGCTGGCTCCGGGGGCTGCAGAGAATGGGCCCTGGCCCCATGGGTGGCTGTAGAGCCTCCTTGGAGCACTGCTCCCATTGATGTGGTGGGTGCTGCACTCCTGCCAGGAGAGTCCAGGATCCCAGGGATCCTTGGGAGTCTGTCTGAGTATGGCCACAGATAGCCTCTGTGAGGCACAGCATGGGACTGCCACCCCTGTTCCTCAGAGCCGTGAGAACGTGGCCAATGTCTGCAGCAGGGAAGTGGGGGCTGGGAGTGACCACATGGCTCAGAGTTCAAAGCCAAGTCCACTCGCCTCCTGTTGTCTGAGTGAGATAGCTGAGCAGTCACAGATACTGCCCAGCTACCAGAGGACACAAGGACCACATCCCAGCACAGTCCTGTAGGGATGCTGGACAGACACTGTGCTGTGGGAACAGAGAGCCTGGGCACCCCCAGGACCACCTGGGGCTGCTCCGCACTCTGCCCCCAGAGTCAGTGCAGGGACCTTCCTCTGCTCGTCTGGAGCAGGGAGGGCCTCTGGTCTTCACTCGTGCTGACGCCACACTCCCATCCTGGCCTCCATTTTCAAGCCAATGTACCAGCAGTGCCTTGGCACCTGGTCACCAAGTGATGGTGAGTCACAGATGCTCTGAGGTTTGGTTTTCAACAAAGTGGGTGCTTCTCAGCTGTTCTTGGGTGCTTGCCTCCAGCCCTCGACTCTTGGATTTGATGTGAAGGGGCTGCCCCTTCCCATCTGGCTGGGTCCCCTCGGGTGCAGAGCATGGGTCCTGCCTTCTCCATCCTTGGATCTGGTCTACCAAGAACTCCAGGGCCTCTGTAGGTCCCCACTCCCAGGGGCCCTGCAGCAGCTGTAACTCCAGTCATTTCCCTTTTCTGCAAGGTTCTTCTTGCAGGAAATCTCAGGGTGGCACCTTTGGCATGGCTTCCACGAAGCCGCACCCAGCAGCATCCCGGCCTACCCACAGAGGGGCCGTCCTCTTTCCCTTCCACACGCCTCTTCAGCCACCTCACCTAAAAGCAAGTGTCCTGCTTCTGCAAGTTTGGGGAGGATGGTCACGTGATCAGGTGCGTTCCAAGGTGCCCCCTCCACCCTAGAACAACACTCAAGGCACTTCTCCAGAGCTTCCTCCGGGTCTCAACTTCTGCCAGCGGGCAGGGCCTCCCTACGTTGCCCGCCATCCTTCTTCAGGGAGACACAGCCACCTGGCCATGGGGCACCTCTCTGCTCAATTCAGGTTCCCTGGAGCGGGGCGTTTACTCTTCTCTGGGGAGAGTGAGGGAGTGGCTTGGCCTCAGACCTGGGGGGCACCTGTGTCCTCAGGGTGGCTGGAGCTGCTCTACCTGCCAGCTTTTTCTTCCTCCATGCCCCTTGCAAATTAAAATCAAGAAGCCAGAAGACAAGTCCGAGCATGGCCTGGGGTGGACATGCTGCTCTTGGTCCCCACTCCACCTGGTCCTGGGGAGAGCTGTTCTTTAGAACTTCTGCCATGCCACACCTGCAAGAGTGGAAATCCTCGGTCCCTGGGGTCCACTTCTCCATGGTGGGGGAGGCTCCAGTTCTCTCTCTCTGCCAGCTGCTACATCCAGCTGTGCACAGAGCCAGAGGGCTTTGCTGACAGGGCCAGGCTTTGGGTTCTGATCACAGGGACATTTCAAGTAGCTCCGGCAGAAAGACTCCGTGATGAACACGGCACGATTCAACGAGATTTATATACACTGGGCAGAGGGGGCATCTGGGTCCAGCTGGGCACCTTCGCCACAGCTGGGGGAGGCATACAGTGTGGGGACAGGGACTCAAGTTGGTCCCCAGACAGTGTAGTGGCTCTCCAGCCCCTCAGTTCCTGCTAATTGCACTTGGTTTCCTGGCTTCCAGGTCTCTGCCCCTCAGGCTCCTGAAGGTGCCAAGATTGGGACCCAGCTGTGACTGAGTTTGACATGATCCCATTGTCCCACATAGTCCTTTCAGCCTGGGCTAGCTGGGACGCAGCCACACGTTGAGAGGCCTCCCTTTAAAGCTGTTTTCAAACACATGTGAATTCTGTTTTCAGTCTCTGGGCTTTGAATAACTTGTTTGCTGTTGAATTTTGGTTTGAGTAGGGTTGAGGCTGCCGCAGGACTCAGCTCATTCCATAAACTCTTTTTATATCCTGTAAGATTAAAAATAATTTGAAGTGACACAAGAATGTAGGTTCAAATGGCTGGATGGTCCCTAACTTATCTGCCCCCACCTACCCCGTGCCATCTTGAGCTCTCCAGCAGAGCCCCAGGGGGTCTTCCCTGATGATCTAGGGGCATAGCAAGCAGGATTTGAATCTCCTGTCCTCCATCCCCACCCGTGCCCCTCCTTAGTGGACGAGGTGAGCTGTCTCAACCTGAGAGCATTCCTTTGTCCATTCACATTGAGTGGACAGCCAGTATGTAGTATACTCTGTCCCTGACCCGAGGGTAGAAGGTACCAGACCTAAGCCTTGTGGGCAGCAGTCAGCATCAGGGGATGCTGCCCTGAGGATGGCAGGTAGGGCCAGCTGTCAGAGCTCAGCCCAGGTGTCCAGGCCTCTAGTGGGCACAGGGAGTACCCCTGGAGCTTGGGTCCCTCAGCCTGGGCTGAATTCAGGGCAGAACCCTAGAGTCCAGGATCCCTGGCAGACCCCAGGGCCAAAATGGAAACTCAGAAAAGGAGATATGGAAGGCTCAGATGTCAAAGGAGGAACTCAGGGTGACAGGTGCCCAGTGATCAGGGCAGGACCAGCTGCGGGGGTGGCTTCTTGCTTGTGGTTCTTGAGCACAGATAGTCATCCATACCAGGCAAGGGGGCAAGGGTCTTCAGGGGGGAGAAGCAGGGCTCCCTGGGCATTTGGCAGGTAGGTCACAGTCCGGCCTCTTGGGCCACTGGTTTATTAACTGCCTGCTCCTGCAGTCCCCTGACCATGCAAGCCCACTCGCTCCACACTCTACAGAAGAGCCACAGAGAGCACCGGAACCTGAGGCCAGACTGGAAAGGGCCTTGGAATAAAACAAAACCCCTCTGTGGATGAAACTCCACTAGGGCTTTCCTAGTCCCAGCATGCCTTCCCAACCTCCCTGCCACGGCGGGACTGCAGGAACCCCAGGGTCACCGGGACTCAAAGATCCCGGGTGGGACCCATCACGAGGCCCCTTCCAGGAGCCCCCTCTCTCCAGCACTGTTCCAGCCAGAGATGGAAGGGTCCTCCTTTGTTGGAAAATCGTCATTTTTATGAGTAAAAAGGAAAGCATACCAACCCGAGTTCCTGGCTCACTGGAGTCGTCAAGGCCACAGAATGAATGCTAGTGAGAAAAACAAAAAAAGGAACAAAAACTATAACATAAGACCAAAAGAAAATGAGGAAAAGAAAAGAAAAGAAAAAAGATGTAAGATATGTGGTATGGATTTCAATGGCAGCATCTTACAAGATCTATGACATCAGGTTGGAGACGAGCAGGTTCGGGAGCGGATGCCACCTGGGATGCCCGGCTTCCAGCACGCCATGCCCAGAGGGCTACCCCTGCAAACTTCCCCAGCACTCTGCCAACCCAGGGCGCCAGGGGAGGGCTACACCCCGATCTGGGACTTTTGGGTGCTGAAACTGGGTGGGCAGGACAGTGCAACCCTCTGGAGGTCATGATGGGTGACTCCCACAAGCACACCAGGCCATGTTGAGCAGGGACGAAGTGACACCACCCCGGTCACCCAGCACAACCTGCAGATGACCCACCATCCCTTCTAGGGTTTTTTCCTTCCAAGAGATTCACTGTTTTAAAATTCTTTGTGTCTTTTGATCAGTTGACTTTAAAAAGAAAAATAAACAGCAGGAAAAACCTAGCCACACAGGAACAAAAAAAATCATACAGGCCATGTTGAAAAAAATGTCTTCAACTCTTCATGACTTGCTTTGCTCCAATGGAATCATTAATCATTACAAGAAACCTACCTGACCACCACCTGGGGCTTTTGAAATAGTTATTTTTCCCCCTAAAAATCAAGGTGTTAGCTCCACCATGTTATTTATTGAAAAAAGTAAAAATCCAGATAAACAGCCAGCAGCTTCTTTAGAATCCCTGGAGGTGAGAGCTGCAGGGGCTATCAGATCACCCAGCCTCCTTGTCCACATGGGGAAACTGAAGCAGGGGCAGGAAGGGCCACCCAGGGGCTGTGGCAGAGCATCTCTGGCCACTGATGAGGGTAGCTGGAGCTTCCCCCATCACGACAGCCAGGTGGTGGCCATGAGGAAATGCGGGTGACCTGCAGGCACCCTGGAATGCTCCTGGTCCTCGGCCTGACCAGGTGTCCTTCCCTGGCTGATGCCTCCTGCTTGATACACAGCCTCTGAAAGTTCCTCTGGGACTAAAGGGGACAGACCAATGCACCTGCCTTGAGGAAAGAACGGAAAGGGGCCGGGCAGGGGATGCCAGTGTCTCCCCAGTGTTCTCCCCAGGAAGAGTGCAGCCGATGACCTGTCAATCTCCAAGCAACGGGGGTTGTGTTTTAAGCCTCTTCTCTGTCCTCTATGGCTCTGTAATTATTGACCAAAGTCCTCCAGTACCAAGGAGATGGGCAGGTGGGCGGGAGGGTTGCTGGGGCCCCTGTCTGGCTGGGCCTTGTGCTAAGAGCTTTTACATCCTCTGTCTAATGTCATCTTTGCCACCATCATGGGAGACAGGGCAGCCTTCCCAGTAGCAGATGGGACTCCGGGCTGGGAGCAAAGGACACATTCCCCTGATTTCAGGGCCTATCGGGGCCAAACCAGGGCAGAACCCAGATGCAGTGGCCTACAAAGCCAGCTCACCCCAGGAAATCTCCAAGGGAATTATCCTGAGATCCTCTCAGGAGGCTGGACAGCAGTGGGCGCCTGCCATGGGGGCTCTAGGAATCCGCAGTGGACGCCTTCCCAGAAGGGCTCCAGCACCAATCCCTGCCTCCCTGCCGCCCCCTTGAGGACTCCACTGGCTGCGCAGCCAGCCAGGCCCTGTGCGGTCCTATCTTTCCTGCCCACAGTGCTACGCAGGGCTGCCGCCCCCTTCTGGACATCCTGCTTCCAGTGACGCCCAATGACGGCCCTGGTTGTTCCTGGGGGTTAATGTTCTCTCACAAGACAGACACCGAGGCGTAGGCCCAGAAATGTCCTTCTCCCTCTTCCTCCATGGGCCTTCTTCCCATTGCCTTTAAGAGGGAATGGCCTCCTCAGGCCTACCAGCCTCAGACTCCCCCGCCCCTGGCCAGGCAGAGGCAGGAGCCCTGCATCCTGTCCCTGCACCTCTACCACGTTAGCTATGCCACTGAGGCCTTCCTCTGCGCTCACGTGTGGCCATTCCTTTACTCATCCCACCAGCACCAGGGGATGCCCTACTCCCTGTCTCGGATGAAGAATGAATAGAACTTGGCCCCTGTCCTCAAGTGATCCGTGGCCACCAGGTGGGTACATGGGAAGTGGCAAATGCCCCCACGAGCAGCTTTGCCTGTGTGGTCCCCCACAAGTCCCATGTGTCCACCAGGATCAATGGAGTGAGTTGGGTGCAAGTGGAGAGGTCACAACATCTAGGAAGATCCCAGCTGCCCCTTCCCACCTGGAACCAAGGACCAGCTTCCCAATTCACTTCAACCTGGGTTTCCTCACCCATAAGACAGCCCTAAGTACACAGGGACCAGTGGGGCTGAGTGGGAAACACCCGCTGGTCAGCAAGACACCAGTCTCCTTCCCCCTGGAGGGAGAAACACATGCCTGACTTTTGGTCTATGGAAAGCGTTTAACATGAGTGAATCCAGGGATGACGGCCCATGTCTGTGGTGGGGACAGGACAGCCCTGTCACAGTCTAACCCGGTTTATTCCAGACAAAAGAGGTTAGTTTGCTAGTGCTCCCACACGCTTCCCCGTGAGGCGGCAGAGGGATTCTGTGGACGACACCACACACTCACACACACATACACACACGCTGCACAGGTTTGGGCAGCACTTTGCCTCTTTGTCAGAGGGCCCTTGAGGGAGGCACAGATTTCTCTGGAAGTGCTGCTTTGGGAGGACTGGAGAGGGGAAGGCTGGAGGCCACACCCAATCTTTGGACATTATGAAACCACAGGGAAAGCCAAAGTTTCCCAGAAGCATCTCAGGGGCAGAGTCACAGGACACATGAGCCCCGGACACCTACCTTCTCCTCCAGCTCCTTCAGGTGCCGCTTCTGAAGCTCAAGTTTGTCCTCCAAGTCCCGTACTCTCTGAAACAGAGATCAGGAGGCATCACGAAAAGTAGGTTGTCCCAATTCAAAACCTGACCCTTCACGTCTCATGGTGGCCTGGTGTGGAGGCAGCAAAGGGTGAAATATGCAGCATACGCAGCGGGCAGCTCCGTGAGCACCCGTGCCATCTGTGACCACCCTGCTCCTCTCCAGCCAGTGCTCCCAAAGGAACGCCGCTGACGCCAGTCACTACAGATGGATTCCAGCTGTTGGTGGAAATAGCACCCCCAAGACAGACCTTTTAAATTTAAAAAATACAAAAGTCAAAACAGGACCAAATCAGGCAGGGGCCTGGGGCAGGCTCATAAAGATCATGGATTGGCTGTAACTCCAAATCACAGAT